TTGAGAAGGATATTTAGGTACCTGCTCGTAAGCCACAACCAATGGTGAAGGAGTATGTCCCTCAGCTTTCCTTTCCTACTCGTTTGCACAAAGACCGACTAGAGACTGAGTTCGCCAAGTTTATGGCAATGCTGAAGTAGGTGAACATCAGTATGCCTTTCGCGGAGGCATTGTTGAAGATGCCCAAGTATGCTAAAATCATGAAGAATCTCCTCACCAACAAGAGGAAGCTTGGGGAGCCGTCGACGGTGATGCTCAACGAGGAGTGTTCTGCCATTCTGCAGAACAAGCTATCAGAGAAGCGAAAAGACTCAGGGAGTTTTACTATCCCTTGCATGATTGGAAGTTTGCATGTAGGGAAATCCTTAGGGAATTTAGGATTAGCATAAACGTAATGCCATATAAAATATTTAAAAATCTAGGCCTAGGTGAACCCAGTAACACTAGGATGAACATTCAATTAGTTGATAGGTCCATTGTGCAACTTAGGGGTATTGGAGAGGACTTGATAGTCTCAGTATGATCATTCTCATATCCTGTTGATTTTGTTATTCTTGATTTAAATGAGGATGTGAATGTGCCTTTAATTCTGGGCAGGGGGGACACAAGCTGAAAAAGTACCATTTTTGGCCAAGTTCGAAAACCGCATTTCGTACCAACTTTACGGAGATGCGTCGGCTTCGTGGGAGCTATTCGGGGGAACCCAAGACGTCGAGATTGGATTTCAAGTGCTGAAGAGTGACGACCATGATTTGAAAGAAGGAAGGCAAGTCGACTGGAGGTCTAAAGAGGGGTTCCAAGATGCTATCAACGCACAAAAAAAATAGCTAAACCAGAATTTTTCTGTGGAACTGGGTTTGAGCTAGCGACTTCTGGCCTTAATTCAAGGAGCTTGGGAGTTCATCACTGGGAGCTACGAGTTGGAAATGACAGAAGGAGTCTTTTTCAACGGCGACAAGGAGTTGGATGCATGAGTTGAAGATTTCCTGACGTCGGACCACGAGCCCAAAGGAGCTATGGACGACTGTTTATTTGCTTGAGCTGGAAGATATTTTCTTGCGTGTTAAGTTTCTGGTTCATCAAAATTCTTTCCTTTTCTGTTTAAGATTCGTATTCCATATTAGTATTCTAGTTAGCTTATGAGTCTTAGTTAGCTTAGAACTCGGATTGTAATTGTTATTTAAAGGCTTCCCTAGCCTCGTTGGAAGGCAGTTGATGATTGAATACAAAAAGTGACCTTGTCACCCAAATCCCATCGTGAGTTTGTTGCGTTCCAGCCACGAGTTTGCTTCATATCAATTGAATATACACTTCAATCGTGGCCGAGGCTCGACTTATACCAATCTAGCCTCTTCCCTTGTGTGAGGTTCTACAATTGGTTCCATCCGTGATTCAAACTGCTCGTTTAACTCTCGGATTCTCCTGCTTAAACTCGATCTGCGTGTCACTGACCGCTACGAACTAGTTTCAGCTTGTATCAAGTTGTGTCTTGGAAGTCTAAGAAACAAACAATCGTAACGATAGGAGTTGTGAAGGTGGATCATATAAGATCCGAATAGAATCTAGCTGATCCTTTGAAGAAAGGATTACCTAAAGAGAAAGTCCAGAATACCGTCAAGGTTATGCGACTTATGTCTACCGAGCCATAGATTACAAGTGACGGTAACCCGACCCGGTAGACTGGAGATTCCAAGAAACGGGTTCAATGTGTAATAACAACTCATGAGTATTATTGAGAAAAGTTCATGGATAGTGAAGCATGAATCCCAAAGACTAGAGGTTGAGGTAATAGAAACTCTTAATGAGGTCTATACTCCATGTGTAACGAAGTACTTTACTTTGGGGGTACTTCTGATAGACTCACCTGTGTGAATGTGGGCGTGGGGCCGCTCCTTATGGAACTTTGGAGACACAAAGCTGCTAGAGCGTTCACTAAACCAGGATAACGTGTAAGGCCATATATGCATGGGCTATAAAGAGAACACAACTCAATGAAAAGATCTGGTGTGCTACATTGTCTGAGAAAGGGTTCAAGACTACGAGTCACCCTTGTGAAATCAGAAGTGTAAACACTACGCTAAGTTTCAAATCTTTGCGATACCATAGCTTATTCTAGATATTATGGAACTGTTGATGCTCAGAGATAGTTTCAAAACTATTCAAGTGGAGAATTGTTGGAAATGAATAGATTTTGAAGCTATAAGTCTCAAAGAGAAAAAAATACCACATTGGTAGTTTTACACTTATGAAATGTGTATAAAGATTGGGGCCTCTCTCTTAAGGGCATGCCCCTTGGGGTGAAGCACTTTTGTGGTGAGTGAGGACCTCATGGACAACCACAAACAGATGTGCGCCGTCCGACCGGTCGGTCGGTTGAGCGAGTGGGTGGGTCTGATTGAGACTATAATTTTTTAGAGAAATTCCAAAATTATGTAATTAAGTAATTATGACTTAATTATCATGTATCCTTAATATATATGAAGATAATTAACTCATTGGAATATTTGAGAGATAATTCCTGGCCGATTTATCTTACCGACGTGGTTTAATTAAGTAATTATCTTCTTAGTCAATCCGACTTATTCCCCAAGTAAGAGGGTATATTCTCAGGGGTCGAGCTCCTATAACGGCACCCAAGCTGTCACAAAACAGGGTTGGCAAGAGAGGATGAGATTGATGAAGTTATGAGTAGTGCAGTCAAAATCGCGCTTTAAGTCGTAGAAACTTACGTTTTGACGTACTTAGGGCACTAAAATGATTCAGATTCCACCTAAAATTGTTTTGACCGCAAAATCATTAAAATCGTATGTAAAAGCGTTAATATCGGTAAAATCGTACAAAAACTCATTTTTACAGCGTTTCTATGCGATTCCATGCACTATCGAGGAAAGTAACATTTGCACAAAAGTGACGTCGTTTTACTGTTATAAAATTTATATATTAAAAAACAAATGGACATAAATTTTGAAAGGCGCTCGAATATCTAAATCCCTAGTACGAAATGGAAACAACCGCAACTCCAAATCCCTCTGTGGTGCCTCTACCGTCACCAGTCCCCAGTACTGTCCACCACTCTACCGTCATCGGCAGTCAATTCTATCCCCGTGGAGGTGATCCTCTTGTCTCTCGCTCTCCACCGTCTCTACATCCAGGAGGAACTTGTCCATGAACTCCGGCGATGAATCAAGAAATCGGGGCGGCGGACTGGTGGTGAAAACATGGAAGGCTACGCTTGACCAAAAGGAACATATCAAAGAAGTCTCTTGCAATGACTCATTGGGTCCGGCGAAGGATGAGATCGATTGGCGAGGGAAATTTGGAATTCGTGACGAGTGAAGGGATGCTGGGTAGTTATCTGCACCAAGTTGAATCGTAACATCAGCAAAGCTTCCTAAACCCTAAGTTTCCAATTGTTTGCTAGGCTGGGAGGAACACAGATGATTGGATTCTCTATACTTGTATTTGATTTCGACTCCAAAAATCATTGTCCATCGTTCCTTATATGAATGATCTAATTGTTTTTTTGTGCTCTAAGATTAAATTTCTCTGAAGCCGTGGATGCTACTGTACTATTTGGTTTTTGAATGATACACTCACAATTTACATTTTGAACTTAAATTGCATGTAGTTATTTACTTATCCAAAATCTATGAACTCACATTTTAGATAGCACATGTCTTACTTAACACATTTTTAACTATTTTACATGATGCATAAAAAACTTACGTTTTTACGCTTCATTTCTACACTTTACGATTTTATCCTTTTTCCGCTTCTAGGTAGAATCGCGCTTTTGACTTATGACATAAGATTGTAACCCAATGAACCTAGATCTGATGTGGCTAGAGCAACAATCCGGTAGTCAGCTTCACTACCAGACCGTGCAATTGTTGGTTGGTTCTTGGATTTCTTGGAGATCAACGTGTCGCCAAGATGAGAAAACCAGACGTGGAGGTGCGGTCATAAGGTTCTCCATTCTAGTCCGAGTCTGAGAAAACACAAAGTGAAAGTGGAGAGGACTAGTGACGAATGTGAAGGCTAAGAGAGCGAGTACCAGCCAAGTGTCGGAGTATCCTTTTAACATGTTGCCAGTGAAGAGAAGTGGTGCAAGCATGCACGTATTGTGACAGTTAGTTAACAGCGAAGGACACATTAGGATGGGTTGTGAGAAGATAATGGAGAGAACGAAGAGCTTGCATATAGAGACTACCATCAGCAGCCGACCCTCTCGGAGAAGAAAACGGGTCGTAGAAGCCAGAGTTGTGAAAGTTTTCTTGGCCTCATGCATTTGGAATAGAGTAAGAATGTACGTATGTTGCGAGAGAATATACCATGCTGAAGTAGGGATGATTTCAATCCCTAAGAAATAATTGACCTAGCCTAGATGCTTCATAGCATACCGACCGCACAACTGAACCTGAAATTTGTTGAAGAACTCGAAATTGTTGCTGGTGAGAAGAAGGTCATCCACGTACATCAAGAAGTAAGCAAGCACTCTAGCACACGATGATACGCAAATAAAGAAGCGTTGGAGTGAGTCTTTGTAAACCCACACTGAAAAAGGAAAGAGTCAGGTCATCATATCATGCGTGTGGTGCTTGACGCAAGCCATAGATAGCGTGACGTAGACAACACATATAATTGGGAAACTGAGGATCACGGAAGCCCGGAGGTTGAACCATATAGACCTCCTCATGAAGAGGACCCTGAAGAAATGCGTTGCTCACGTCGTGAAAGTCCACACCTGGGCGTTGATGGAACCCTCCAGCAACCAATCGAGTCTTGAAGCGCTCGATGCTAGCTTTAGGTTGAAATTTGATTCAATAGAGACACCGATTACCAATGAATTTGTAGTGAGGTAATTGAGGTACAAGATCCCATGTCATGTTAGCCTGGAGAGCATCAAATTCAACATGAAGTGCCTAATTCCACTCGTCAGGACGTAGTATTTCTTTTACATAAGTGGGCTCGAGAGTATGCGTTACTTGAGAGAGGTAGCTATAACCTGCACATATTTATGATTAGGCTTAACAATATTGTCTTTAAGTCGTGTTACGATGGGGTGGGATGGTGCAGCTGGTCAGGCTGCTGGGACAGCAGCCGTTGGTGACGTAGCTGGAGCTGGAGAGATACTTTTCCGGGAAAGCGACCTACGAAGGGGAGTGAGAATGGGGCAGAACCGATGACACGTCTAGTGCTGGTGGGAGTGGAATCCATGACACAGCTGCTATACAAGAGGCCACCGACGAGGTGGAGGAGGGAGGGTGAGTTGTTGACCGAGGAAGGTATGCCAGGGAAATCGTATTCAACAAGAGGAACATGCCGAGAAAAAAAGACACGTTGAGAGGCTGAGTCAAACACTTGGTAAGCACTTTGTTGATGGGAGTAGCCTAGCAAGATGCACGTAGTGGGACGAGGGTCGAGTTTGTTGAGAGCTATAAGGACAAATCCAAGGAAAACAAATAAAGGTACAAATTAGTTTTTACAATATAAGATTTTACAAAAGAGTATAGGTATGACCCGAAGTTGTACCATAAAGTCAAAAACTAAAGTAGCAATGCTTTTAAACATTGCGAAATTCTTGAATAGCTACATTGTCATTATTATGCATATAATATTAATACTAATTAACCTACATTGTCAAGAAAACATCCTTCATACACTCTCTAACTCTACACATCGCCACCAAAGGCGTCGCCTTGGGCATAGTTATCCCTCTCTCTTCACACATATCCACCAACTCCTCACCTTTCCGTTCCCACTCAAAGCACTGAATCAACGAACCCAAAACCAAGCACATCGCCTTATTCGCCAGCCCGGAACCAGGGCACGACCTTCTTCCCATACCAAACGGCAAAAACCCGTACGCCTGGCCGCCGACCTCCTCATTTCCATGTCTTTCCGGCCGGAAACTACTCGGGTCTTCCCATACCGTAGGATCCCGGTGAATAGCCCACGCGTTGACCATCAACATTGTACCTTTCGGGATGTGGTAGCCGCCGACGGTGCAATCTTCCGACGACTGATGCGGCACCAACAATGGTGTCACCGGGTACAAGCGAAGCGTTTCAGTAATGATGCTGTGGAGATAAGGAAGGTTGTGATAGTCGCAGTCGTCGACCAGTCGATTGTGGCCGACAATGGCGTGCAGCTCGATTCTTGCCTTGTCGAGGACGGTAGGATTGTTGAGTAAGGCGGAGAGTGCCCATTCCATCATGACGGCGAATGTGTTCGTACCCACGATTATCATTATCTACACATTAAAGCAGGATGTTATTGAAAAAGGGAAGGGTTAATTAGGGTCTGCTTTTCCATGATGTGTACAGTGTTATTGAACGAATTGAGTCACTTCAATTGACTAATCATTTTCATATACAGTTGTCTTCTATTATTTTGTCCCCCTTTAGGGTCAGAGATTCCTAGTTTACCAGATTTGATACATGTTCTATTTAATACTGTTCTACCTACACTAATGGGAAGAAACTATTCATTAGACAAAAAAAAAAAAATACTAACAGAAAGATATTTATTCTCGTAGTTATGATATCTTCAATTTATTCTCTATATTTATTAATCACACGAAACTACATACACTCATAGGCGGAGGGAGGCCATTGGCCTTGTCTCAGAACAGGGGTAAATTTCGGAGGAACAAAAATCTGTAATATATATATATTGTAACTTCTATGGTACCCTGGTGAAATCCAAGGTAGTATTAGAGAATTTTTGTCACTACAGCACAACTCATTACTTATTCATAAATTGACATAAAATTAATTTATTATACTATAAACGAATTCTAATTGCAATAAAGACCTAATCGGATATCTTTTCTCCTAATGCCCATTCGATTTTTTTCCAACAACCCTGAAATTGTCTAGAGACATCAACAGTTCTACTAGTTTTGATTCTACGAATTACAACTGCAAATGTAAAAAGAACATTTTCAGCTTTGAGTTATATTAAGTACAAGTTTCTAAGTCGATTTGGCAACCAATTTGCTAATGCTAATTAGCGAGATACATTGACAAAGACTTATTTAATAATGTAGACGACGAATGTTTTTGCGTTTCTTTCACAATGTGAAATCTCTCCGTGGTTGTTAAAAACAATGATTGTATAGTCGGTTATTTTTAATCTATGAATGAATTATGCAGAGATAATTAATTTTAATTAAATATTTATATATTTATATTATAAAAAGAAAACATGGGTGGTTTGAAATGCGGGCTCCGCCATAAACTCTTTCCTATTAATAATTTATATTAACTATAATTTTTACAAATATCTACTGTATCAATTCGGTATATGTCCACTGTTGAATCCATAGTTTCAAAATATAAAAACAGTTCAGAGTTACTTACGAGCACGTGGCCTTTAATGACATCATCGGTGTAAGTTTCAGGCTCAGATTCCTGCAGAGCCAACATAGCATCAATCATCGTAGGCGGCCTACTCGCACAATTCTTTCTCGCTCCTTTATTCTCATTCCGGCTCTCATCAATCAAACGCTGGCAAAACCCATCACACGTGGCATGAGCCCGCCGCATCTTCGCCTCCGTCCCGCCCAAATCGAGCCACCGCAGCGCCGGCAAGAAATCCCCCGGAGTCGACGCGTTGGTCAGCACAAACCCAATCTCCCTCACCACATCTCCAAACTCATCATCAACCAGCTCCCCTCCGTCGCCGTAATATCTCTTCCCCGCCACCATCCTCGTGATGACATTCATCGTAAGACCCGACAGCCTCGCCCTCATGTCCACCTCATACAAACCAAAACCCGACCCGACACCCTGACCCGACTCGAAAAGGTTCCGGAGGAGGAGTTTGACTTCGTCCCGGCGGATGTAGAAGGAGTCGTTGACCGCGGCGGAGGAGAGGAGCTCGACGGCGGTGAAGCGGCGGAGGGCGCGCCAGAGTGGGCCGGAAGGTGCGGCTGCGATGGTGGTGCAGTTGTAGTGGAGGATCTGGCCCAGGGTGGTGTTGGGCCGGTTGGCGAAGACGGCGTCGTTTTTGGTGAAGCATTCCTCGGCGAGAGATGGGGAGGATATAACGACGGCGTTTCGGGCTGTGCCCATGGAGAGGAAGACGATCGGGCCGTAGCGGGCGGAGAGGTCTTTGAGGGTCCTGTGGAGCGGTTCTTTGAGGAGGTGGAGGTGGCCGATGAGAGGGAGTGAAGGTGGGCTAGGCGGGAGGAGCTTTCTACGACGTCGTTTGGAGGAGATTATGTACTTGGAAATTGCGATGATGAGAAAGATGATTGTGGGGAGGGAGAACGTTGTTATATGCTCCATTGGTGAGGGGTTATGGCAAGATTGTTGAAATGAAATGAAAGATTGCCAGGGTTATATAAGAGCGTGGAGATTTTAGGTGGGTGGGTAAGGTTTTATTCTTTATTTGAAGGGTTAATCAAGGTCTGCATGTGAGATGAACTGGGGAAATTGATGAGGATTGAGGATCAGGATCTCATCTTATTTAATGATCCCCACAAGGGGATAAAGATTGTGTGGTCAGAAATCGGAGATTTTTTTCTCCAAAGGTATCTCGGAAGGGAAACAGCAAAGTACGACTATATATATTTTGCTATATATATATAGTGGCGTATTCGACGCACCCAATTTTTTGGGTGCACTCAGTGCATTCGCCTCATAATCATCATTCTCGGCATGCGATTCATGTCAAAACGGTATCAATTGTTGTTTATGATATTATGAATAAGAAGCACATTAATTTGAAAAAAAAAAATCATTTAAGATTTACTTAATTTGAAGTATTTAAGATTTAGAGGTTTAGGGTTAGGGTTTAGGTTTACAATTGGGATTTTGCATTGGGATTCCAAATTGAAGGTTAAGGGGTTAGGGTAATAGATTGATTTGTTATGATTATATGTCATATCATCATATTAGATTGAGGGTACTAATTAAAGTTCAAAATTTGATGTATTATGGACACTTTTTAATATGGGTGCATTGAGTGCACCCAAAAAAGTGAGTGCACCGAAGTGGGTGAAATTCGGGGTACCGCATACCTTGAGTATGAAAACGCTATCTAGACCTCGAATTAGAAGGATTTTTGGGCACCATACTATATCCTAACCCTTAATGAGTGAACCCTAGGTTCTAATTATCTAAATCATAAACTATAAACCCAAAGATTGTGCATTGATATTTTTGCCTATATTTGGACGAATCATAACCGTCGATTATTGTTTCTAATTAAATTGATCTTGGGATATAAGATTTAGAGAATTAAGACCTAGATTTTGATCTTTAAGGGTTAGAGTATAGTATCATGTCCGAAAGATCAGTCAATTCAAGTTCTGGATAGCATTTTCTTACTCAAGGTATGCGGTACACCGGATTTCACCCTGGGTACCGTAGAACTCCCTATATATATAATTTTTGCAAGTCTAATTACAAAATAGAAATAAGAGGTGCTAATAAATCAAAAAGCGATCCAACGATGAGAGGACTTGTTTTGTAACGATATGGGCAGCCCTATAAAATCTACACGGAGCGAAGTGAAATTAGGCACACTCGAAAGATGACTAAAGCACATCAACTTCATATAAAAGAGAGCCACCTAAAGCGTGCGCCGAGTCCATCGCATTGATCATCCGAATGATCACCTGCGAATCACCACTTAATAATATATTAGAAACTGAATGAGAAATGCACCATCGGAGGGAGTCCCTCGGAACAAGGAGCTCAATGAGAAAAGAGTATGAAATAAGTCGTAGAATCGGCAAAAAGCAAGGTCAATAGATCGATCGCCAGAAAGGTCTATGAAACCAATAACACCACCCACAGACGCCATTGTTGCTCCCTCAAAGTGGACGGGAACAACTCCATGGGGGATGGGAGGTGGTCCGAGGCTACTAGAGGGAGAAGGGGGGGGGACCTTTGTGTTGCGAGATTGAGAAGCTGCAGCTTGAGCTTACGTCCATTCAAATTCCCGGAATGTCATGTAATAGAGTAGCCGGAAGAAAATGAATTCCCTCTTAGGCCGATGCGCAGTGGGACTTTCAGAAGTGTCAGTACATGAAGACAAGACAATTAATTCTAGTCTTGGGAAGCCCTGCATAAAAATATCCAACTGCAACCTACTGCTATGTGGAAATCAGCAATCTGCAACCGAAAGTTAGTATATCCAACCAAAGACCACAAATGAATTGCAAAACGACAATTAAGAAAAGCTTGAGAAAAGGTCTTAGGAGCAGCACAACAAACGGGACATAAAATAGCTTCTCCATCATCATCAATTAGTTCTTTGTCCCGAAGAACATCCTTCAAATGCAGGAAGCCTTTAATCAAATGCCACATGAAAAATCTGAGTTCTGGAGGGACCGGTAGTGACCACCGGAATTTCCAAGCTTGGAAATAAAATTTATAGGAATAGTGGACAGGTCTCTAATAAAGTTCTCGGATGCCAACCTATATCCTGATTTGACTGTATATTCATTCGAGGGTTGGTAATGCCATACAAGTCTGTCTGTTGTGGGGAAAATGGATAAAGGTATACTTCGGATAATGTGTATTGTATCAACATCAAAGAGGGAGTAGAGAAATGTACCTTCCAAGAGCTAGTGGACTGATCGATTAGAAAAGATACATGAGGAGCAGGCGACACCGATTTTGGTAGCAGCGTGCGGCACGAGGGACAAGTAGTGGGCATCCAATTATCCTCTGTGAAGACCGAAGTACCATATCCAATTTGTCATCGTAGTTTGTGGAGAAGCAAACGTCGTCCTTCATCGACTCCTTGTCAAGCCCTTGAGGGACGAGAGCCTTGTGGAGCATGAAGGAAGGAAGAGCGAGAAAAGTAACGACTCTTGTAAGTTGTGCAAGTAAGCCATCCGGGTTTTGCAGAATCCTCCACCCTTGCTTGGCTAATAGGGCAATGTTGTTGTTGTCTATGTTAAAAAATCCAAACCCACCCGCTGTCTTCGCCCAACACAAATTCACCAAGAAGCGAGCTAGATGGTCATTGAGTGTATTGCAAAAGGTAAAGGGGAAGCGGAAGCTGGACATAGCGTACCTTGGGGAGGCAAAAGCAACCGATTTGAGCACTGTTTCCACGGCGACCAATGACATGGTTCCACCGCTGAAGTCGTAAAAATAGGTTGTCCTCAATGTAGAGGAAAGTATCTTGCTTTGAACAGCCTAAACATACTGGAAGGCCAAGGTATTTATCATCTTCTCCACTCGCAGATACTCCAAGAATGTTATTTATTGCAGCCGTCGCATTCACCGAAACATTGGCACTAGAAGAGGTTTTGGACTTCTGATGATTGATCTTCTGGCCGCTAATCTGTTGATAGGTGGTGAAGAGTGAAATAAGGTTGTGGCCAATGCAATCAAAGACGCGATTCTACGTAGAAGCGCTATGGTGAACTAAAAGCGTAAATTACAATTGAAATTAGTAAGAAGTGTGATTCTATGTAAAAACATTTTGGCGACTTAAAAGTTAAAAGGTCTAAGTTTTAAAGTTTGAAAGCCCGATTTTGACTGCATTGGTTGTAGCATTCAGAAGTTGAACCAGGGAGGAAAATGTAGCAATCATCTGCAAAGAAAAAATGTGAGAGCACAGGGCAATGGGATGAATCTTAACACCATGCAGAAAGTTAGAATGGACAGGCTGGTTAAACAAAGCAGAAAATTCCTCGGTGTAAATAGCATACAAAAGGGCCGATAACGGGTCCACCTAGTGCAAACCTCACTGAGGACGGAAATAGCCATGTGGGGATACATTGAGGAGAATTGAGAAAGATATTGTTGAGATGCACTCCCATATCCATTTCAGCTCAGATTTCGTCTCTTAGAAAGCAGATTGACATCCCAGAGCAAATAACCATCATCTTTATGAGCATGACTACTTCAAGCATGGTTTTCCTCTCTCTCTCTCTCTCTCTCTCTCTCTCTCTCTATATATGAAGAAGAACCCTAGCTCCATATGTTAGGAGAATGATTGTATGAACCCTTGGGTTGTTGGATAGATTGGTCATGTTCAATTGAGGCATATTTCATAATTGATTGAGTCTTGATCATATTTTTTATTATTATTACTTTAACTTAGAAGAGAGAATATCTAATTTGGTTAAGCGAGCAACCTTATTTGGAGGTATTGAATCAATTTTATGAATAGTAAATTGATTCATTACTCTGTACTATAATCTATTCATGTAGATGAGGTCTATTTGCATTGACTTGGCATTCATTTGAGGATAATTGCACGCAGACTGATTTGTTTAAGATGGTTTGGTCTGCGCGGTTTAGTCAAGATTCCAAACTAATACTGGACCTTTTTTGGTATAACTATCAATGAACTGAACTTAGGGGAAATACAACACCTAAATATAGACTAGGGGAATACATACTTGAGTGATCTTTCTTGCATATGAAATCGAATCAAATTTCTTCGCTTTGTTCACTTAGCTTTAGTAAACGTCCCTACAACTGCTTTGATGAATAATAGAAATTTGACCGAGTAATAGTACATCTAGGGTCTCTGGGTTGACATTAAGACTGCCACTATACTACTCCCTAATCTATTGTTACACTTGGCCACTGTATAGAATGTTAGAAAAAGCGAGTCAGAGTCAGAAATAGAGATTGGATCGATCCAAAAGACGACATGGATCATTCTCCCGCATTGTTCTTCTCCCTAATATATAATTTTACTTTTTCTGCTTTGTTCTTCTCTTCTATTTTGTAAAACCAAAGAAGGAGATCTTCAACCCCGGGCACCTCAACATCCAACTTCTCTTTAAAAATTTCATAAAACATGTCCTTCACCAAATGAGTAAGTGATTGTGAGAGACGTTAAAAAATACATTATATTTTTTGGACTAGGTGAAATTGCATCCACTCTACAATATGATCAACAACATTGCTAAATTCAGACTAATAATTATAGGGATTTCCTATGGTAAATTGAAGTAAGGTAACTTAAAGTTTTTTACCTGCTATAGTAGGTTTCACAGGTCGCGTTACGTAAAATACAATGGGTATAACGTAATGGTTACGTAACGTATGGTAATCTTACGTAACAGTTGTAAAATGTCATTACGGAAGCTTTACGTAATAGACGGTTATTTTATGTAATGAATACCAACATCGCATTACGTAAAGTGTAAAGTCATTAGGGAAGCCTTACCTAACGCTTCTGATTTAACTATTACGTAAGAAATAACTGTCATTCTTAATATTTACTTAATAGAAGGTCTTTTTCGTAATTAGTATTAACCTCGCGTTACGTAAAGTGTTAAGTCATTACGAAAGCCTTACGTAATGATTGTGATTTAACTGTTACGTAAGAAATAACTATATTTTCGTAATCTTTACGTAATGGATGCATATTTTATGTAACATTGGTATAATGTCATTCCGGAAACATTACGTAATGAAAGGTCCTTTTACGTAATGAATATTAATCTCGCGTTACGTAAAGTGCTAACTCATTACGGAAGCCTTACGTAACGCTTCTGATTAAAATG